TTTGTCTGTTATTAAGCTGGAATGCCAAAACACCCGCTTCAGCTACTCACGTTTGCAGAGTTTCTGTTTCTGTATTATAAATTGAAAATCTATGGTGTCAAAGAAGCCATTTATAAGATACATATTAATATATTAAATAGAGAAATAATTAGCAAGTTAATTGATAGCGAAAATAAACATTAGTTGCAGCCAGTGTGTGAATTACATCATGCATTTTTGAGGGTCTCTTTGTAACCCTTGGCCATTGGGGATGGGGGTGAATGCCGCTGCAGTGAAAGCTGTTGTATGCTCCAGCCAGCACCAAATGCACCAAATCCATCTCCACATCGGTGAACAAAACGACACATGAAAGCAGCTCAAGAGCAATGGTAAATAATGATCTCCCATTCAGTGTTACAGGCGTTATCGACAGCGGATAAAGTCAGTCCGACCTTGTGTGCTATTGTCATTTACTCAGTTAGTTTCCTTTGCTACTACCACGGGGACATACATTGCCTATTTTTGTATTTTATGATGGTTTGATCCCAACAAAAGCCACTTTAGGTGGAGATGCATGTGTCTAACAACCTTTGCACTCCCATGGGCTGCAGTCAGCTTCTGGATCACTTTTGGTACAATACCATAAATACAGTGAATACAATAGTCATCTTTTTATATTATTTTAAAAGCAATTAACTGTTCATAAAGTTACATGCAAATAAATGATATTGCATAGATAAATAGAAAACCATTCAGCACATTTCTGAGAGCCCCTGAAATTTCATTTTCAGATTTTCAAGGGGTCCGAGTTGTCGATCAGTGGCTGTGAGACCCACGAGACCCCCTGTATTTCGCACACTGCTTGCAGTCATATAAGAAATATTCCATGATCATAAACTCTATGCCTTCAGGTGACCACCAGTTCAGGGACAAAATGTTTTGCCTGTCGCTCTGCTTCAGAAAGAGACAAGTGGATTGAAAATCTGCAACGAGCTATCAAACCTAACAAGGTAAATATAATAGACTTTTTAATTTCATCCAAAATTTTAGCAACTGAAAATGATTTAACTGTACAATGATCATCTTCAGCACCTGTTAGTTTATGACAAGATCCAGGGTGTAACATTAAGCATAGATGTAAATAAGGACGGTTATAATGCAGTAATAGAACTCCTCGTTTCACTTTCAGGACAACAGCAGGCGGGTGGATAATGTGCTCAAGTTGTGGATCATCGAAGCTCGAGACCTTCCAGCTAAGAAACGCTACTATTGTGAGCTGTGTTTGGACGACATGCTGTACGCGCGCACCACCAGCAAACCCCGGACCGACACAGTCTTCTGGGGCGAGCATTTTGAGTTTAACAATTTGCCTACCATTCGTAGCCTTCGCTTGCACCTCTACAAGGAAACAGACAAAAAAAGACGCAAGGTACTAAGATGTCTTAGTAAAACAAAAACATGAAAAAAATGAATGAAATAAAGCTAATAAGGTGTCTTGTGTCTGTCAGGAAAAAAGCACATATCTTGGCCTTGTCAGCATCCCCATCTCCAGCATCACGGGCCGGCAGTTTGTGGAGCAGTGGTACCCGGTGATACAGTCCAGTGTTTTGGCTAAAAGTGGTGGTGTTGGAAGTGCCAAAGTGATCAACGCTTCACTACGTGTCAAGTCTCGCTACCAGACAATGAACATCCTCCCGATGGAGCTGTACAAGGAATTCGCTGAGTACATTACAAACAACTACCGAACACTGTGTGCAGTTCTGGAGCCACTGTTGAGTGTGAAAAGCAAAGAGGAGGTGGCATTTGCCCTGGTGCATATCCTTCAGAGCACAGGGAAGACAAAGGTAAACAAGGGGTCAAATGTAACCTTATTGCATGTGATGCCATAAATAATTTCTCACTTCTCTGTTTGATCGGTTTGTTTTATTGCAATAAATTCACAGACAGATGCCCTTTCCTTTGTGCATGGTCCACTGAACAAATGTAATATCTTCTCAGGAGTTCCTGTCTGACATGGCGATGTGCGAGGTGGATCGATTCATGGACCGTGAGCATTTGATCTTTCGAGAAAACACGCTAGCTACAAAGGCTGTGGAAGAGTACCTCAAACTGATAGGTCACAGATACCTCAAGGATTCTATAGGTGAGGCTACACACACACACTTGGCTGAGACTTACAGTATTGTTCAAAATAATAGCAGTACAATGTGACTAACCAGAATAATCCAGGTTTTTAGTATATTTTTTATTGCTACATGGCAAACAAGTTACCAGTAGGTGCAGTAGATTCTCAGAAAGCAAACAAGACCCAGCATTCATGATATGCACACTCTTAAGGCTGTGCAATTGGGCAATTAGTTGAAAGGGGTGTGTTCAAAAAAATAGCAGTGTCTGCCGTTGACTGTACAAACACAAAACTATGTTGTACAAACGTTTTTGTTTCTAGGATTTAGCAATCCTGTGAATCACTAAAAGACATTGTTCAGAAGAACAGCGTACTTTGATTAAAAAGTTGATTGGAGAGGGGAAAACCTATAAAGAGGTGCAAAAAATTATAGGCTGTTCAGCTAAAATGATCTCCAATGCCTTAAAATGGAGAGCAAAACCAGAGAGACGTGGAAGAAAACGGAAGACAACCATCAAAATGGATCGAAGAATAACCAGAATGGCAAAGGCCCAGCCAATGATCAGCTCCAGGATGATCAAAGACAGTCTGGAGTTACCTGTAAGTACTGTGACAGTTAGAAGACGTCTGTGTGAAGCTAATCTATTTTCAAGAATCCCCCGCAAAGTCCCTCTGTTAAAAAAAAGGCACGTGCAGAAGAGGTTACAATTTGCCAAAGAACACATCAACTGGCCTAAAGAGAAATGGAGGAACATTTTGTGGACTGATGAGAGTAAAATTGTTCTTTTTGGGTCCAAGGGCCACAGACAGTTTGTGAGACGCCCCCCAAACTCTGAATTCAAGCCACAGTACACAGTGAAGACAGTGAAGCATGGTGGTGCAAGCATCATGATATGGGCATGTTTCTCCTACTATGGTGTTGGGCCTATTTATCGCATACCAGGGATCATGGATCAGTTTGCATATGTCAAAATACTTGAAGAGGTCATGTTGCCTTATGCTGAAGAGGACATGCCCTTGAAATGGTTGTTTCAACAAGACAATGACCCCAAACACACTAGTAAACGAGCAAAGTCTTGGTTCCAAACCAACAAAATTAATGTTATGGAGTGGCCAGCCCAATCCCCGGACCTTAATCCAATCGAGAACTTGTGGGGTGATATCAAAAATGCTGTTTCTGAAGCAAAACCAAGAAATGTAAATGAATTGTGGAATGTTGTTAAAGAATCATGGAGTGTAATAACAGCTGAAAGGTGCCACAAGTTGGTTGACTCCATGCCACACAGATGTGAAGCAGTTATAAAAAACTGTGGTCATACAACTAAATATTAGTTTAGTGATTCACAGGATTGCTAAATCCTAGAAACAAAAACGTTTGTACAAAATAGTTTTGTGTTTGTACAGTCAACGGCAGACACTGCTATTTTTTTGAACACACCCCTTTCAACTAATTGCCCAATTGCACAGCCTTAAGAGCGCGCATATCATGAATGCTGGGTCTTGTTTGCTTTCTGAGAATCTACTGCACCTACTGGTAACTTGTTTGCCATGTAGCAATAAAAAATATACTAAAAACCTGGATTATTCTGGTTAGTCACATTGTACTGCTATTATTTTGAACAATACTGTACAATGAATAGTATCTGTCATTTCACAGAAATGATTGACCTTGTTTAATAATGACATAGTCTGATCTACATTTAGAATAGTTGGATTAGCTTTGGCTTCTTTCAAAGAGCAACAGTTTAATCAGATTTTTAGCTCATTTTACCATTTTGTTTTACTGTCATCACTTCACACTGTACCTTAGGGGCATAATTTTCTTACAGGAAAAGAGAAATTACTTTGAGAGTTATTGCATATGTGTAGTTTTGTCCTGATCCAGTTGTTAATGAAGCTTAGAGCTGAACCTTGTGCACACTGATGCATTTTGGGGCAATGATAATGACAGTGTGATTTGTGACTTGCAGGTGACTTCATTCGAGCCTTATATGAGTCTGAGGAGAACTGCGAGGTGGACCCCATGCGTGTCCCGCCGTCAGTCCTTGCTGATCATCAAGCCAACCTCCGCATGTGTTGCGAGCTGTTACTCTGCAAGATTATCAATTCTCTCTGGTCAGTTTTGGGCTGTTTGCACCTCCCAAAGACTATATACACCTGTGTGTTTTGATTTAGTCTCCTGACCTTGCTGAATTCCCGAGAGCTTTGGAAAAGCTGTTGGATTACACCTTGCACTTTCTCCTTGACAGTGGATAATAAAATCACATTCTTCTTTCAGCATATTTCCCCGGGAACTTAAGGAAGTTTTTGCCTCCTGGAGAGCCAGATGTGCTGAGCGTGGACGAGAGGATCTTGCCGACAGCCTCATCAGCTCCTCCCTGTTCCTTCGCTTCATGTGCCCAGCCATCATGTCCCCATCCCTGTTCAACCTAATGCAGGACTACCTCCCGCACCCTCACTCTCATTGCCAAGGTGATGCAGAACCTGGCCAGCTTCAGCAAGTGAGTCTCTGTCATCACCCATCCTCTTAAACAAGCTACAACATCACATGAACTTGATTCAGTTTATTTTTAGAATTGTAGGCATTGACACTTGTGCTAGGTGGGATGCATGTCACGGAGTGCTGTCACTGAAATAGAGGCTTGCAGTTTTCACTGTGAGGGTATAAACTGTTACTCACCCACAGTAAGCTGCTCTGAGCCTTTCAGCAGTGACGTATTTGTTCCTACTGTCATTCTGTACTCTGACATTTGCTGACTATTAAAACAGTTCTACTGTATATCTAAGTATCTATAATTAAGACATCAAAAGTTTGGTGGCAACTTAAAAGATTATATTTCAGGAAATATAACATGCAAACTCTGCAAATGATCAGGCATGTACTACTTGCACCCTGAATGCTACATAATATTTTCATATTGGACAGCACCCGAAGAGCACAGACCTCCGCCAAATCACTTCAGTTTCCCCATAATGCCAACACACCTAAAAGCAATATTCCCATAATAGTTGGACCCTTATAATATGACTCTTTGACCATGAAAAGCTACCCCTAGCATTTGGAATCACACTGATGTCATTAGTTGTTTGAAAGTTATTTAAGAAAAACAACAGACATGAGTGACTACTAAATGCCATGAATAGCTAAATAAATGTCCCATACACACTGACATAACACTGGGTACTTAGTCCTTTATAGGTGCACACAACTCGCACCATTAGGCTGCATCCAACTTGCATCCTACTATACTTATTAGCTCGACTCATCTTCACTCCGTGCTCAGCAGTGCAGCTGCAGACTTTAGCCACAAGGGGTCTCTCATACAGTCAACAGCCTTTCCTTTCCTTTCCATCAACACTTTTACTAAATCGTATTAAACGTGTCACAGGTACATAACAAATTAGAAGAAGTCTGTTTAAGTCACAGTATATGACACTGAGCAGAAGAAGAATTTTTTTTTAGCTCCTACACTTGTGGATTGAAAACATTAGATCTTTCCCACTTCCACAGTGTGCAATATGTTTCCACCCCCATCTTTGTCTTCATTCATCCTCTCATTAACTCCACAGATTTGGGCCCAAGGAGGAATACATGTATTTCATGAATGAGTTCCTGGAGATGGAGTGGGGATCAATGCAGCAGTTTCTTTATGAGATTTCCAACATGGACACTGGAGGAAATGCTGGAGGGTTTGAGGGCTACATTGACCTTGGCAGAGAACTATCCATGCTCCACAGCTTACTGTGGGAAGTAATGGGGCAGCTTAGTAAGGTAGGTGGAATAACATAAATTATATTAAATTAAATTAAACATTTAATATGATTTCTCTCTGTGTGAGTTGAAAAATGACATTCTGCAGTTTTCTATCTATTAGAAACAGAATGACTATTATTAATGACTCCATTAAAGCATAGGTATTTTAATATTTAACTTCCACTGTTAATTTAATGAAGTTATATTGTACTTGTAACATAATGAACGTTATAAATATTTTATGCTGAGTCCTAAATTACCTCACAGGTTAAATGTTTTCTGTAATTGCATTTTCCCTCTGTTCATTTAAATTTTATGGATGATGAAGTCATCATACACAAGAGGTTTTCATACACTGGGCCAAGGTTGAGTACTGGACTGAATTATATGATTCTATATAAACATGCTGAATAATAGCTTTAGGAAAGCACTGATCCAACTTTTTCTCTTCTGAACCAATTCAAAAAACCTATCATAAAAACATCCATTCAGTTTTTTTTAAAGTGTGCAAAGCTCTAATAGAAAAAATGCATTCAGATCTTGTATCTGTGTGTACTGGCCCACTTCAAGCACTGGTCAGTCCCACAAGAACACAATACTGACTTTAAACTAGTCTGCCAGTAAACAAGATATTTTTGTTTGACCTGGTTGTTCCCAAATTAAAAATAGCCCATAAAATGGCATGTGTTACAAAACCTATTGTATTTGGCATGTGAGGAAGAATTTGCTTACTCTTTACAATGTTTCTCTGGAATAGGATGCTATTCTTAAGCTTGGACCCCTACCAAGGCTGCTGAATGACATTAGTGTCGCCTTGAGGAACCCGCAGCTTCATATGCCTACAAATCACCAGCCAGACCGACCGAAGGACAGACTCTTCTCACGACCATCCTTCAATCGTATCATGTCCTCTGACATCCAAAACCGTATGATGCATGACTTAAACAGGTATCCTTTCATGGTTTCCTTTGCTTGTATATCTGTGTCTTCAGTTCACAAATTAAATTGGATTTGCACATCTCTAAAGAGTATACTTATCTCAGTTGCACCAGAATGTATACATTCATACAGAGGACTGTTCCCCGCTGAGGTTTTGTCAAGACTGTGCGAATGGTCATGATTGCAAGTATGCACCTATTGCACGTTGAGAGGAATTACAGATTCACATGGGTGTAATTAACAGTAGCACATAAAAGGGCCAAAAATCCACAATAGGTGAGAAATCAGTGTGCCAAAACAAAACACAGTGTTTCTAAGACCCCATAATGCTAATGCATGTCTTTGGGCTTTTTAAGTGTTTTCCCAATCAGTAATTGCCAACACCATCTGCTCCCAGAGTCTCTTACCCAGACCTCTTTCCTCTGTGCTTTAATTCATTTCAGCACTCTGCTATTGTCAAGAGACAGTTTCTCTAATTACAGCCTAACTCTTGAAGTAACAGTTTAAATAAGAGAAATAACAGTGAAAATATCAGATGACTGATGACTCCACAACAACGATTTTATTTTATGGTTGCTGTTATTAGTCCCTCCTATTAAAAATCCCATTGGGAACCAAACTCTGCAGCAGTAAACACGTAATTGAACGTGAATGACTTAAATCTGCTGCAGGCAGGTACGAAAGGACAGAGATCAAATGTTTGGAAATTCAAACCAAAGCAAATGACAACACACCTGCCACTCCTCATTGGCCTAACCCTAGTGGTATTTGGTTATGAGTGACTGACGGGATTGAGTCATGCCTTTCCCTTGCTGGGTCTCTGCATGCAAGGTGGTTTTTTTTTATTTGTGTACATGGAAGGGGCAGAGCAGTCGGCAGAGGTCGGAGTGCCTTTCACATCCCCAGGCTCTCCATCACTGGCGTCTGTGTTTACACGGGTCTTCGACTTTACCTCTACAGTCTTCTTTTTTCAGTTTTCTGACCTTCTCCTCTTCGGTGTTTAGCTGTGTAGGCTGTAACTGGAAGCGGCAGAATTGGTCATCTTTCCCCTCTTGACTTTGCACTGATGTTGTGAATATGCAAACGCTAGAGTACATTTGAGGTACTGTCCAGGGACCTTAGTTGCGTGTCATTCTTCCTCTTCTCCACTCTCTCTTTCCTGTCAGCTCTCTACTGTTCACTGTCTATGACCTGGACTACCTGTCAGCCAGAAGTAATTTCTGTGGTGTGTCTGTAGTTCAATAGATGTCTCTCGCCTGCCATCCCCTACGACTGGAGTGTCAGCTGTAGAATCCCTCTCATCAAATCTAAACATGAGGCGTCATGCAGAACAAGACCTCCGCTCATCAAGAGAGGTTTTCTACGTGACCCGCCCACCGCTGGCTCGATCCAGCCCCGCATACTGCACCAGCAGCTCGGACATCACAGAACCCGATCCAAAGGTACAATGTAAACATAACTGTTCATTTTTACTGTTGTATGTCATAATTCTGTAGCATTTTAAGCCCTTTCTATAATGTTATGAATGTTTTAAAGAATTCAGAGGTAATCTGCATACATTTTCATAAAATGTGTCTGAGCATATTTGTATTGGAAAGCTATGAACAGAATGATGCATACTGTGACTCTAATGACTGTGGTATCAGGCTGTTCCTGACTTGAAATGAGCCCTTAGGTTTGATTGCACTCTTCAGATTTTTTTCAGAGCAGTTAATTTAACAGGTGATGAGGAAACTAAGCACTCTTTCTAAATTTCAATGAAAAGAATATTTATTTGAAGCCTAGATAATGACTAAACATGAATGGCAACGGGATCTTGAATGTGAAATGTATATATGCGTTTCATCATATAGGGAATTGAAAAAGAACTGTTTTCTTTGTCATCAGCATTGTTTAATAAATATACATTTCAAAACTTAATCTACAATAAATGTTTTTCTTGTGTCTCTCAGGTCCACAGTGTGAATAAAAGTGTGTCTATGATGGACCTTCAGGACTCCCGTATGAACAGCATTTCCAACCTGAACTCGGTGGGAGACATGCTCACCTCCTCTCAAGCCTCCATCGCTGGGCTCGGCCATAGCTTCGGCAACCTCGGTGGTCCGCTTCGTATGGGAGGGCATATGCCAACAGGCGCGGCAGGCTCTGGTTTGAGGCTGAGCCAGATGGGCCACATAGGGGGACCCACTGAATCCATCTCTCAACAGCAACAGCAGGCAGCAGCAGCCATGCACTACCCTCTGTCTTTCCAGAACCCGCTGTTCCATCTGGCTGCCCAGAACTCTCCAGCTCAGCCTCCTCCCCCTCCTCTCCTGCTTGCCCCTGAGCCAGAGAATGGCCACCCTGACTATGTTCCCGCCTTTGGTAACAGTGCTTTCTCCCGCAGCGAGGATTTGTCCGCCCTGCGGTCACAGAGCAGTCTGGTGCAGCCCAGTATTGTCCACTCACACAGTTACAGTGATGATTTCACCCGGCACAATCAAAACAATGACTACGCCTGGCACCAGCTTTCGCTGCAAGTGCAGGTAGGAACCTCTCACCTTTAATTGAACGCACACAAAGACATGGATCATGGTTGTAATGGTATGCAACAATATTTCCTGTAGCAGAACTTTTTTTTTGTTAAAATATCAAAATGCACATCTCATTTACAGTATATAATAAATATATAAAAAGTATTGTTTTAATTACACAGGTGACTCCCATAGTATAAACAAACTGAATGGATGCAACACCATTCTTCTGTGGCAATCTATAGTTTAGGATTTTGTGGACCATGGGGCGCAGAACTGTTCCTAATGTTGCATCAGCAGGTTAGAGACGGCTGTAACTGTCATCACAGATTGACCTCTGATGGTTTGAAATTAAAAAAGAAAATATAAAATTGCACATATGCACCTATCAATTCTTTTTAACCAACTCTCTTAGATGTTGTAAATATCGGCAGATCTCCTGGCTTGTATCATTTCTTCTACAGGTTAGTTTGTTTTAGCAATCAGTCCAGAAACAGAAACATCTCTGCTGCATCTGCACATGTTGTGATGAGGACATTCGCAGCCAAAAATGATTTTTAAATCAGAATCAGCTTTATTGGCCAGGTGTGACGGACACATGAGGAATATGACTCTGGTACATCAGCTCTCTGTGTGTATGTACATATCGCCATGCAAGGGGCAAGTAAACAGTGAACTAGCATAAGGCTGTGTAATATAACAAAATATGCAGTATTAACAAGCAACAGACAATGCAAACAATGCAAAATGGGCAGTATAAACAGGCAGTAAACAATGCAGGCAGACAAAGGAATGCTCATTGAAATGAGATAAATAGGAATAAAAATAGAGTACCGTACTTAAAAATAGACCTGTACAGAGTTTTAACAAGTTTTTGTTAAAATAAGACCTGGATTTTTAAACAATCCCCAAGCCAAATTTGTCAATCTTGTCATTTATTCTTAGTGTGATTTTAACACCAACTGAGCAACAAAAATGTCTGCACAATTTGCTTAATTTACATCAGCCCTCGCAGTTCATTACATCCTGCTTGTACTTTTCACTGTGTTCAGGCTCATCCTCAGCTGAACTGTGTAGGGTGCTCCACTGTGTGCCCTTGTTTCAACAGAGCTACTCAGTCAGTAGGGCAGAGGAAAGTGTTGTACAGTAACTGCTAAGGGAACATCGTGATGTTGTACATATTTTAAACCTCAGAGTACTGTTCATCAGACCTACATCTCCTGGACAGTGATTTTAGAGCCTCTGCTGAAAACCAAAGTTTGAGTGTTTTCAGTATCCGTTTATATATTTAAACTGTCACTTGTTAGATGGAGGATCTTTGTGGAATAGCTTTTAATGAAACTGAAATCTGTAGGTACCTTTTTGGTTTTGATTTGATGATGTACTCACAGGTTGCTGATAAGTTTACTACAGCATTTCTGTGTAAAATTATAGTGTTTAATGATACCGTCATGTTGTCTTGAGCTATTTCTGTCCTGCTGTGTGGGTCTTAATGGAACAAACATTGCAAGAGCTTTGTGTTTTATTAGTACAGCTGGTGTTATGGCACTCTATGAATTATTCCTGTCCATCCATCCATCAGTTTATCCATCAAGCTATAGATTTATCCATACATACTTTCCAACCAACCAGACATTTCAGGTCAAGTTAATATATTTTTTTACATCTTACTTAAAGCAATTGTGAAAGATCTGTGGTTTAAAGGTGTAATAGAAATATAAACTTTCCTTGCCTGTTACCCATCCTCCTGTCTTCTTGTACTTCTATCCTTTCACATAACTGTGTAATATTTTTTTTGTGATTATAGCTTATTTTACATGAATCAGATATGTGGTTTTTGTTTGTAGACATGTTAGCCAGTCTGGTAAAAATATAACTGTAGTCATATTGTTTATTTATTTTGGTGTTACTCTGTCAAATACAGTATGTGTGGGGTTATGGTTGCTATGTGAGCTGCTGTCTGTTTTTCTCTAATTAGATTGTACCACTAGAGGGCATCAATCAGACATTTTCAAAATTTACACTGGATTTCAGTAAACATCTGCCTCATTTTCTTGACCATTTCTTTTTTGTTTCCATCCTCTTCTCTCCTCTCAGGAGTCTCTACAGCAGCAGCACCTGATGGGAGTCATATCTCAGACACCCACTGGGACAGGCACCCCCGCCTCTTTGGCCACACCTCCCACTACAGTTCAACATGTCCGCCAGACAGCCATTGCTCCACCACACCACCTGAAGTCCCAGAGGTCCATTAACACTCCAGCTAGCGCCACACCTCCAAAGGCTCGCCCGCAGAGCAGAAACCTCCTCCTCGACTCTTCGGAAGCAAACTTCAGTGGCAGTCAGCCGAAACTACGCCAAACTCAGCAGCAACAGCATCAGCAACAGCATCAGCATCAGCAGACACAGCAGCAGCAGCAGCAGCAACAGGAGACACAGCTGTCAGTGACAGACAGTCCAGCTCCGGGGCTCCCGTATCAGACGAGCTCTGCCAAAGACAACCAGGGTCCATCAGGTGCCGCAGAAGAGTCAACAGACACACCAACAAAAAGCACCAAAAAGCCTCAACAGTCACAGCTGCAGCCTCCACAGCAGCATCTGCTCAAGCCAGTTGTCAATAAACAGGTCAGTCTCACTAACATTTTGTTGGTGCCTTATTTCATATACAAAATATCTTTATATTAGGATGTTTTAATATTAGCGAGAACTGCCATTTCAGTAAAAGTACATTTTCAGGACATCCATAATTAATTAATAGCCTGACTGACCTGTGTTGTTGTTCCAGGGTTCTCAGTCGACTTTGAACACTCCGGCCCTCAATGAGCGGACAGTCGCCTGGGTGTCCAACATGCCACACCTCTCTGCTGATATTGAGAGTCTGCGGCCGGACCGTGAGGGTCAGCTGAAAGAGTACTCCAAGAGCATGGATGAGTCACGACTAGAGAGGGTCAGTACATTATATTTTTTTTCCCCCATCGCTTTAAGAAGTTCATTCACTTGCATACTATGATCAGTTAACTATTGGTTAAAACAAAGTGGCACTTCTTTTTGCCAGCCTGGTTTGAAATATTTAATGGAAGAGGGTATATGTGTGTAGTACGTTTGTGCTATTCCTCCAAAGTATCTGTGATTCTATTTAAAGTGAAAGGTGAGATACAAAAGGACATTTACAGGAATAAGCTGAATCAAAGAAACATTATCTTGAAGTCTCCTCCACAGGGCTGTAATAATCCTAAAATATCTGGTTTCAGATCAGTACATTATTGTTGAAATATGATATACACATTCTAGTGCTGAATGTAAGAATCTAGCTTAGCATGTTGGTAGTTCCAAATAGCAGCATGAGTTACTGTTGGAATATTTGACTTAAATACCTACAAATCAGTGGATTGGAGCCAGCTATAACCTACATAGAAGATTCATTTGTATTTAAACTGGCAGTCTATTAAAGGTGTGTTTTTGTTTTGTGCTTGAATTGTCACTCAATAGTGTTTAGCTTAAAGACCTTTAATGACCAAAACCCCAACAGTCATATTTCATTTAAAATTTAGAAAAAGAGTTGGGTGTCTCTAAAACAATGGACAGATTCTTCTTGATGGGAGTCAGAGTTTTGCAGTTAGTCAAAAAAGAGGTACAGAAAATAAAATAAATTTGGATAAAGGAGCTTAAAGGATAAGGTTTTGTATATTAGCAGTGTTTTAAACACTCCCTACAGAGACTACAACCAACAGTGATTTGCCTCTACTTATGATTAATATCTGTTATTCTATTAGAACTGGATTATCTTATTCACTTGTGCCATAGACCTCCACTGATGCTCAAAAATAATTAAAAACATCAGGTAAACACACTGCTGCACTGGGTGACATGTTTCCTTATTAGAAAACACCAGGCCCTGATATTGTTTTTGAACATCAATAAAGATCTATGGCACAGACGATTAAGGTAATTCAGGACGGACAGACATTAATCATGAGTAGAGGCAAATCATTGTTGAAAATGCTGTTAATGTAGAAAATGGCCGGCCTTATCTTTTAAATTTGCACATACGGGAACAGACTATCACAAAATACCTTCACTGATGTGCTTGACAGTGACAGTGGGTGTGTGCTGCTTAACCAAATTCTTTAGTTTTTATATATATATCCAGTGAAATAACAGCCTGAGGTTTAAACTTTTCCAACTGGTTCTGCCATATAGCAGTTCTGAATTGGAGCTCTAACTTCATGTCATACATGAGTAGATACAGGGGGTAGGTGTTGCATTTTCTGTGATGAACAACTCCCACACTCTAGAGCATATTAGAAACAGATGCTTGTTTTGAAATTTGTGTTGCACACATTTAAGCCTTGTCTGAACTTGAAGCTTAGCGTAGAGAAATCTGTACTACAGCGTGGTGTCTGTATTGATAAAATAACATAAATAGTAATAGAATTGATGAGCTTAAACATAAATATAAAGGTATGTGTCAATCAAGATATATGCAAGAACAGGTTTAATGATTAATTAGATGGAACATTGTGGGTGTGGTGTATGAATGTTAACACTCTGTAATAATTCTTTAGTATATTACTTGTGTGGTGTAGAAGAGAATTATCTATGTAGAGATGCTGCTTGCAAACCAATGATGGTAAGATGATGTCATGGGGTAGGACTGGATAAGTCTGACTTCTTCCTACTCCATTCAAGCATGCACTAGGTATAAGCAAATTGATATTGGATTAGCATTTGTTGGATATGTGTAAAATTATGTGTGTTGACATATCAACTGTCTTTACATGCTTGAAAGAATAAAATCAATCAATCAATCAATAAAATCACTTCATCAGTTTAGGAGTATTGCAGAATAACCTGAGGTCACTGTTTTTCATTCATCCTTTAGGTAAGAGAGTATGAGGAAGAGATACATTCCTTGAAAGAACGATTGAAGATGTCTCATCGCAAGCTTGAAGAATATGAGCAGAGACTAATGACGCAGGAACAACAGACAAATAAAATCCTACAGCAGTATCAGAATCGCCTGGAGGACAGTGAGCGTCGCCTAAAGCAACAGCAAATGGAGAAGGACTCTCAAATCAAAGGCATCATCAACAGGTGATTAGCGTTCAGGCTGAACTAGAGCTGACAGAAATTAGGCTGTGCCAGTTACTGCACACAGAAGTTGCTTTCAAGTTGGTAAATACACTACTAGTCATAAAATAACCATTTTGAACCACATTTATTTTGTGTGAATTTCATGCAAAGAAAATGTGGTGAGTAGCTTCACATTTAGAAATTGCCACCATTAGCTAATTTCATTTCAGCCGCTAGAGGATCTAGTGAAATTCAGAACAAACTTGACGTCTTATTCATAGTAATGCTGTAAACTATGAATGCCTGGCTGGGACAAACTGTACAAAACACAGCTGCCATCCTAAAGCTATTGTTAGCTCAGTGTCAAGTGATGAGGTTGGTGAGACAGTTATCAAGTATGTCTCTGTGGCACAATCGGCGTGTTTGGCTCTTGACTGAAAGGTTGGTGGTTTAAACGGTGCTGCAGATGGTTCTTTACCAGAAACAAATTCCTTGTGTGTAACATACTTGGCCATAGGACCATGCTAGATTGACAGTGTGGTCATATGATTTTAATTTAAGGATAATCACTTTATTTCTTTCGCAGTCCACTAGCTCCTTGCTCTTTCACTGAGTTCTCTACATGCACAGCTGAGTGTTGCTAGATGCTGCAAAAAGTGATGGTTGTTTGGGGCAACATTTTTAACAAATACACAGGTCTGGTGTTTCATAATAAAGAATTTTTACCACATAAGGCATATTTTTCAGGAGAGGGTTGGACCATACACAGTACAGCATTGGCTACTTGACGATTTATCCTCTTTGAAATTTGCAAGTAAGAGAACCCAGGAAGTCACTACCTCCAGTTAAGAAATTGCCCTGCATATAATTCCTGTTGTATTTGTTTAATTTATACAAAAATCAAGAACAACATTAAGGAGCTTTAGAGCTACAGGACATTGCATTCACCAAAGGAAAAAAAAGGAGAACCTTACCTTGTAATTCTAAATTACTATCATAATTATGAAATGTGTTCTTATAATTAACAAATGCCCTTAACAAGGTGCCCTTGTTAAGGTGCTCTTTAACCAGTAGTGTATGTGAGAAAGAGAGACCAGTAAAAGTTTGAAATATATCTTTATACAGTATTGTTCAAAATAATAGCAGTACAATGTGACTAACCAGAATAATCCAGGTTTTTAGTATATTTTTTATTGCTACATGGCAAACAAGTTACCAGTAGGTGCAGTAGATTCTCAGAAAGCAAACAAGACCCAGCATTCATGATATGCACACTCTTAAGGCTGTGCAATTGGGCAATTAGTTGAAAGGGGTGTGTTCAAAAAAATAGCAGTGTCTGCCGTTGACTGTACAAACACAAAACTATGTTGTACAAACATAGGCTGTTCAGCTAAAATGATCTCCAATGCCTTAAAATGGAGAGCAAAACCAGAGAGACGTGGAAGAAAACGGAAGACAACCATCAAAATGGATCGAAGAATAACCAGAATGGCAAAGGCCCAGCCAATGATCAGCTCCAGGATGATCAAAGACAGTCTGGAGTTACCTGTAAGTACTGTGACAGTTAGAAGACGTCTGTGTGAAGCTAATCTATTTTCAAGAATCCCCCGCAAAGTCCCTCTGTTAAAAAAAAGGCACGTGCAGAAGAGGTTACAATTTGCCAAAGAACACATCAACTGGCCTAAAGAGAAATGGAGGAACATTTTGTGGACTGATGAGAGTAAAATTGTTCTTTTTGGGTCCAAGGGCCACAGACAGTTTGTGAGACGCCCCCCAAACTCTGAATTCAAGCCACAGTACACAGTGAAGACAGTGAAGCATGGTGGTGCAAGCATCATGATATGGGCATGTTTCTCCTACTATGGTGTTGGGCCTATTTATCGCATACCAGGGATCATGGATCAGTTTGCATATGTCAAAATACTTGAAGAGGTCATGTTGCCTTATGCTGAAGAGGACATGCCCTTGAAATGGTTGTTTCAACAAGACAATGACCCCAAACACACTAGTAAACGAGCAAAGTCTTGGTTCCAAACCAACAAAATTAATGTTATGGAGTGGCCAGCCCAATCCCCGGACCTTAATCCAATCGAGGACTTGTGGGGTGATATCAAAAATGCTGTTTCTGAAGCAAAACCAAGAAATGTAAATGAATTGTGGAATGTTGTTAAAGAATCATGGAGTGTAATAACAGCTGAAAGGTGCCACAAGTTGGTTGACTCCATGCCACACAGATGTGAAGCAGTTATAAAAAACTGTGGTCATACAACTAAATATTAGTTTAGTGATTCACAGGATTGCTAAATCCTAGAAACAAAAACGTTTGTACAAAATAGTTTTGTGTTTGTACAGTCAACGGCAGACACTGCTATTTTTTTGAACACACCCCTTTCAACTAATTGCCCAATTGCACAGCCTTAAGAGCGTGCATATCATGAATGCTGGGTCTTGTTTGCTTTCTGAGAATCTACTGCACCTACTGGTAACTTGTTTGCCATGTAGCAATAAAAAATATACTAAAAACCTGGATTATTCTGGTTAGTCACATTGTACTGCTATTATTTTGAACAATACTGTACAGCCGGGGGATAGCTTGGTGATAAACGCCACTGACTTTGGTATGGCAGGGTGGGATTTGATTCTGTGTCAAGGCATGGGATTCCCTTTTCCTTCCTAAGCTGCATTAACCAATAGCAGAAACCAGTAAAAGTTCCAAACATATTATTGTGTAGCGGGTGGATAGCTCGGTGGTTAACGCCACTGACTTTGGTACGGCAGATTGGGGTTTAGTTCCTTGTTAAGGCATAATAGATCGTTTTGTGATTTAGGTCCTTGTACAATTTCATTAACCAATAGCAGAAACCAGTAAAAGTTCCAAACATATTATTGTGTAGCGGGTGGATAGCTCGGTGGTTAACGCCACTGACTTTGGTACGGCAGGGTGGGGTTTGATTCTGTGTCAAAGCATGCGATTCCCTTTTCCTTCCTAAGCTGTGTTAACCAAGATCAGAAATCAGTAAAAGTTCCAAACATATTGTGTAGCAGGTGATAGCTTGGTGGTTAACACCACTGACTTTGGTATAGCAGGTTGGGGTTCAGTTCCCTGTCAAGGCATAATAGATTGTTTTGTGAATGTGATTTAGGTCCTTGTACAATTTCATTAACCATTACCAGAAGTCAGTAAAAGTTCCATGCTAGCATATTAACCAATATGATCATTCTAGCAACCTAGCATGGTCATATGGCCAAGTATATTACAAGGAATCTGTTTCTGGTACAGAACCAGCTGTGGCACTAACTCAACATGGGGTTCAGTATCTTGCCCATGGACACTTCAATGTGTGGACTGCAGGTATTGTGAACGACGATTTTACCCACCGAACCACAGCCCAGGAAAGAGCTTGCAGGAGTAAGGCAAACATCTTGACTCACACTCTGACCTTTAACTATTAAATAATACACACAATATATATATATGTATATATATATACACACACACACACAGAGGGTACGGAAAGAATATACAAGCCATATGCTACAATCATTTAAGTTCATTTTTTTCCTCATTAATGTACACACAGCACCCCATATTGACAGAAAAACACAGAATTTTTGACATTTTTGCAGATTTATTAAAAAAAGGAAAACTGAAATATCACATGGTCATAAGTATTCAGACCCTTTGCTCAGTATTTAGTAGAAGCACCTTTTGAGCTAATACAGCCATGAGTTTTTTTGGGAATGATGCAACAAGTTTTTCACAGCTGCATTTGGGGATCCTCTGCCATTCGTCCTTGCAGATCCTCTCCAGTTCTGTCAGGTTGGATGGTAAACGTTGGTGGACAGCCATTTTCAGGTCTCTCCAGAGATGCTCAATTGGGTTTAAGTCAGGGCTCTGGCTGGGCCATTCAAGAACAGTCACGGAGTTGTTGTGAAGCCACTCCTTCGTTATTTTAGCTGTGTGCTTAGGGTCATTGTCTTGTTGGAAGGTGAACCTTCGGCCCAGTCTGAGGTCCTGAGCACTCTGGAGAAGGTTTTTGTCCAGGATATCCCTGTACTTGGCCGCATTCATCCTTCCCTCGATTGCAACCAGTCGTCCTGTCCCTGCAGCTGAAAAACACCCCCATAGCATGATGCTACTTAAATGATTTTAGCATATGGCTGCAATATAACAAAGAGTGAAAAATTTAAGGGGGTCTGAATACTTTCCGTACCCACTGTATATCTATATCTATCTATATATATAGATAGATATAGATCTCTCTCTATATCTAGATAGATAGATAGATAGATATTTACACACACCGAGAGAAATACCAAGGGCTGAAAGAAGAGCTAGAAAAGATGTGGATGGTGAAGGCACAAGTGGTCCCTGTGGTAATAGGAACATTGGGGGCTGTGATCCCCAAACTGGGAGAGTGGCTCCAACAGATCCCAGGAACAACATTTGAGATCTCTGTCCAGAAGAGTGCAGTGCTAGGAACAGCTAAGATACTGCGCAGGACCCTCAAGCTCCCAGGCCTCTGGTAGAGGACCCAAGCTTGAAGGAAGGAATACAAGACTGCACACTCCTATTGTACTCTATTACATATTAACTAACTACATTTGTTTTAACCACTACAGAATCCCCTGCTCCCGTAGTCCAAAGACTACCAAAATACTTCAAAACACTTCAAGAAAACCAAGAAATACAAGTTCAACAAAAAACAAAAGAAAAACATGTTTATATCCTCCTCTTCCTCCTTTAACGCTCCTAAACTCTAATCAGTATCCCAAATTAACCTCTCTAATTAAACTTTTACATTTAACAACTCTAGAATCAATTTTCATTCCAGAATTAAAAACTCCCAATTAAACTCTATCCTTAGCAAAGTATTTCTTCACATGCTCTAATAAACATATCTTCATCAGACAAATCATTCAGTCAGATCTCTAACATCTTATACTCTTACAGTTACTAGTGGTTAACTATAGTAAACATTTTTCTATTCATGACAGACTGAAAATGAAAAGGAGAATGAAGATGAAAAGGTGATTCTCTTCCCCATGCCAGATAACACAGTTGATTATTTACAAGTGTCTGTACTGTAGATCAAACAGCTTCAATGCAAACATCTTTTCTTCTGCATTACAGTTTTGTTCACATAATCATAATTCACTTCACTGCAAGTTCAGGTGAAAAAAAACCCTATTTTAGGTAAAAATTCCTGAACAACCCGCACGGGTTCCCAGAGATGAAAAACCTCCAGGGATGGCCAATAGTGGGGAAAACCGTCTCCATGGGACTCCCTACGGGCGATCACACCAATGGCCTGCAGTGAACCTGATTGTAGACAGAACAGACAAAGTGAGAATCACAAAACTGGACTCAAACTGTAACATAGCTGTAACACAAACATTAGTAATGTAATTAAACTGCTGTGTAAATATACTGTAATATAACTATTACATATGAGTATACATGCTTGGACTAAAAATCTTCTGCTCATAGATGCATATGATATATATTTAATGATACATGTGACTAAGTAATGAACGTGTAAATAAAGTACTAGATGACTGATTATATGTGATTTATGTATGTATGAAGATGTGATGTTAGAGTCCATTGTCCATCAATCAGCTCACTCCCTTGCAGTTTCACTCTGTTGCCTCAGGGGCGAGCTCTTCATCTTCTTTAGAAACATTAGCTTTTCCTAAGTTAAAAGAATTTCCCTATTTATTTTTATTTTAAATTTATTTCATACCTCAAACAAAACTATCAGGGTTAAACTATGTGGGAGAGAAACTCCCTTTTCTTAAGCTTAATTATTTAATTTAGAGAGAAACATTAAACCTTACATCTATAAAATATTTAAAGATCAACAGACTAAACCTGTGTGCTGGTGACCTAATATAATAAAACCCCTTGATGCATCATCCTTAGTCTGTGGTGGTGTTGCCCGATTCTCATGAGAAATAAGACTTGCCTCCCCCCTCTGACTGATCTAGGCAGATGTAAGGGGTCAAAAGCGGGCAGCACTTAAGGGTCATAATCATGTCGTACATTACCTCTTCACACCTCACTTTGATTCTCTCTCTCTTTTCTATTTGCTTGGATATGAAAGTTGAGTTCAGCTAAATCCTCCCTAATTGTGACAAGATAACAGTATCTGTGTTCTGTATAAGATATTTACTCTGTCAAAGGGACATAAACATGTTTGTGGTGACTGTGAAAGCTCCACTGGAATCCATGTCTCGCAAGTTGAGAAAAGTCTGACAGTAGGTTCTCATCACTGTTAGCTCTGGCTCTGCTTATGCTACACTGAGCACTGATCGGTCTTACCCATGTCCCTGAGCCTTCGCCTGACACGACTTACCCACAGGTTCATGCCTCCTACTTACTGATCCCTCCCTCCCTCTTGCATTTTTAAATATGCTCTAAAGAGTAAAATATGAGAGTGCAGATATTCTTAAAAATTAGTTAAACATTCTGAGCAATGCAAATATTTAAGGTATGTACTACTCATGTGTGCTGGAACCAGGAGGCAATTAGCATAGCTTAGCAAAAGCCTGGAAGCAGGGTAACAGCTAGCATGATAATTCCCCCTTAAACCACAATTAATTCAACAAATGTGATATAAAATGTTATTCAGAGTGCTTAGAGGTGCTGTTAGTCTTTATGCAGTTAGGCAAATCTCTTCCTGATTTTAACACACAGCCTTAAGCATATCAGGTTTTACATCCAATTCTCAGAAAGAAAGCAAATTAGCACATTTCCCAAAATTTAGAACCATTTCTTTAAATGTTGCCAATTCCAGTGTCACAACTGATACCAAAAACCATACCCATTAGATTTGTACATAATATGAAATGCTTCATGAGAACTTATTCAGACTGCAGCTACCATATTTACTTTCCTGCATTTAAGTGTGACTCCTATCAAATGAAACGCTTGCTTCTACATAAAATTTAATTCCAGAAACCCTAATTTTGTATTACTGGAACTCACATTTTCTTATTTTGTAGAAAGCCCAAGTTAAATCAAACATTTGCTCTGAGTTCAGGTACAGCACAATTGTGCACGCTATCCTGCATACATACATTTCCTACATTTTGTATCCAAACAGTTGAATTTCAAACAGCTTAACTGTTCTGAGGGCAGCTCAGATTCATCTTGAGGAAGCTCTGAGGTTAGCAGAATGTATCCAGAAACATGTCAGGATCCTTAATATCATCATATGGCCACATAATCCTAGAGTAAATTTGAAGAACACCGGCTTCATAGTCCTATTTTTGTCAACCGGTATGTTTGTTTCTATTTCCCTGTTGTCAGACTCATGGCTGTGGAAGATGAGCTGAGAGGGGGTGCCATTCCTGATATTAAGCCTCGATTCCTCACAGACCAGGTTTGTGCCTGTGTCTACATCTTTTATCATCCCTATTTGCTAAACCAGTCATTTCCCAAAACATCATTCTTGCACCATATCCAGAGCATTAGCCTAAGCCAGTGCAGGGGAAAGGTTTGCCGCTGTCATAAACTTCACATATTCTCATCTTTGCTATAGTACATTTATGTCACATCAGCAGTAACAATCGACTGTTTTACTGCACATGCCTGAGGCACAATACTGATCTTAAAAATCAAGAGCTGGATGGGGCTTAAATGTGTTGTGCAGAGGTTCATCTGGTTTACCTCTGTGAAGGAATAGCAAGTATTCAACACTGAAACTGAATATTATTTATCACAGAATGATTAGAGAACATTCATCATCTGAGACCTTGACTGTGACTCACCAGCAGCATCACACAGTAATTTTTCAGGGCTCAGCTTCGTGAATGCATCATGTGGGCTGGATTATGACGCAGGTGAAAAGGCTGTGTGCGTGCTGAAGGGCAAACATTTGCTATCCCTCGAATACACTTCTTTGCAGCTTTCAAAAGCAAATAGACAAAACTGCCTCATGAAAACCCGGACCATATCTTTCTTTACTGGGTCTGTTCTGAGATTGTTTTTATGCCAGATTTTCTAAACTAATGTGAATGAATGATGAGGATACAGTAGGTGCCCAAGCCCTGCAACCAAGTTTAGTTTTACATTGGCAAAGTTGAAGTGCTTGTTTAAGTAAGTGCTGAAAAATGCTATTCCTACACAGTGAAAGAGTCCTGGTAATCACGGTGTGCAAGCATAAACAGTTCTTTCCCAAAAACACCAGAAAATTAAGATTTAAAGGTCAACATTTTGGGAACTAGCTTGTTGATTATATTCTGACAGAGCCAGGCTGAACAGTCCAGTCTTTGTGCTAAGCTAATTGCCTGCTGACTCAAGCTCCATATTTACCATACAGACATGAGTGGTATCAATCTTCCCTTCTGTCTCACAGCAGCAAAACACATAACCTACAATGCTGAACTATCCCTCTGAACCTGTGCACTTATGAAGCTATAAATACTCTGAGGTGACTAGTAATTTAATCTGTTTTCTCTCTCTCAGGGCTATGGTGTCCTCCCAGGATCCTGACTGCCACTTCCAAGGTGACCAGAGTTCATGATGGTCACTCGAGTGTAAGAAGACTGACCCAGATCCTCTACAAAGACCCCATGAAGACTAAGCTGTGCAGTAGAACCAGCAGGACCACTGGAAGCTTCTTCTCACAACATTCTTAATAAACACTTTGCACATATTCAAATTTTGCCTGTACCAGAACTTGACAATCAGTTTAGCATGAAAACCAATGTGTACAGTGAATCTTCTGCACATGTTGACTGAAACATAAGCCAATGCCACAACAACGGCAATACTGAACCTAATGAGTTTCTTTAATCAAAAGAAGTAAGAAGAGATGTGTGAAACACAGAGGACAGAGACGGATTCATGATATTCCCTGCTACAAGCAGTCCGCTTGTTTCTCACAGACAAAATGCAGAAAAGGCTTTTATAAGCACAATATTCTCTCATGGCGATACCTGTGACAAGCAACAAGCATGTTGTTCAATCATTTGCCATCTGTGATCCCCAGATGCAGGCCCGAGCAACAACCAATAATGCCATTTGATTCTGTTGAAATCTTTTAGTAAAAAAAATTTAGCCTCAAACTTACAAAGGTAGTTATCGTTAAAGTTCTTGCATCCTTTATAATACAGCCATCCCATCTAAATAAATGCCAAACAAGTCCAACAATCAACTTGTTTTAGCCTGTAACTGCTTTAAACTGCTTTCACAATCTAAACCTTCTCAGTTACATTTTCCTTCGGCAAACAGTGTAAAACTAGAACTATAGTCTCTTGAATTCCAGTGTACAGAAGAATTACTTCTAAAAGCTACTCAGCCTTTTTAATATGGACATTTTACAAAAATAATTGTTTTGTTTACTCTGTAAAAATAACAGCAGTGATGATAATAATCATAATAAAATGTGTATGTAACAGTTCAAAACAGAAACAAAGTGCTTTACAATGAAAAACAGTATGAAAATATGTCTACATACTTAACAGTATAGAGTTTAAAGGGGAACTGACTTTACAGGATAAGGTCAGTATTGCTCAGTTTGTGAAAAATGTAAAATATCTCTGTGGCTTATCAAGTCTGACAAAATAACCCTGATGCCCCTGACTTAACCTTTAGAGGGGGAAAAGAAGCCTGTCCCAGCTGACAGTGGCCAAGAGGCTAGTGCAGAGGTACACAAGATAGTCTATTGCAAGGCTGACACAGAGACAGACCACCATTCACACTCACTGCCAGTTAACCTAACCTGCAGGCACAGGGAGAACATGCAAAACCAGCACAGAAAGGCCCTAGCTAACCTTCGTGCTGTGAGGTGACAGCACTAACCACTGCGCTGCTGGGCCACTCCTATTTGGCCTATTACTTTTTAGTCTTCCCCAGTCTCTGGTGGATTCTCAGAAAACAAATTACTGTGTATTTAGCACGTCTTTAGCTCGTCTGTGCTCCCCCTTGCAGTCAGCTTCATCTAGAGCTGCAACAATTAGTCAGCTGACAGAAAAGTAATCTGCAACTCTTTTGATAATCTATGAAACATTTAAGTTGATTACGAAACAAAAACGCAAAAATGAGATTGGCCCAGTTTGTCAGATATGAGAATTTGCTGCTTTTGCTCATCTTGTTCAGACAAAGGGGGATATTTACTAAAGTTTTGTGACTCATTTTCTGGCGCTTAACAGTGAAAATGGGTGTGTTCATATTTATCAAGGAGGTGCAGTGGAGAAACAGAAGAAATGAGGCACCACAGGAACGTGCATGACAGGTCTCATGCACTGTGTGTTTTAGGGTATTCCACCTCAAGGATGCAAAAATCAGGAAGGAGAAAATTTATGCAAATACCCTCAGCACCTGATTTACCACTGCTGTGACAGAGGGAACTGTGGCTGAAATGCAACATCAGGAGAAAGCAGGTTTAAAATTTGCAGCTGTCAGCATGGCAGCTGTTAGTCATCAGAGATCTCTTTGGAGGCAATAGGTTTGAGGAGGGAGAGGGTATTTGTTAATCACATCACTTGTCAGGGGAGAATGTGAGGGACTTTTATAGGCTTTCAGGTCAAACCACTCAATTACTGAATGATAAAATATGGTTTGACAGGAGACTATGTGACTGAAGTTCTGAAATGCCTTTGTTGATTTCTTCAACTATATTAAAAGTTTGGTTGGTGTAAATTTAGACTTGCTCTCAGTCCGCACGTGCAGCAGACTTCAGGCAAACGGAGATGCATTCAAATGAACACAGCTGCAGCTGCGCTCATTTAAATCAGCATTAGTAAATATGCCGCTAAATAAAAAAATAAAAAACTGTGGTGCCTCAATATTTTCTGTGCCTGATGGTAATTTGCAACAGATTTAGTAACTATCCCCCAAAATGTGATAGGTGCTTTTCTACTCTTTTCTTGTAGGCTATTTTACTGCCTAAATCATTAATCAAGAAAATTAGCAGCTGAATAGTTGATAATCAAAGTAATTGTTAATTGCAGCTCTAGTTACATCTGAGCGAGAGTGTTGGTCTAAAGCTAGCCCAAACTATCAAAGCCTCAAAAGTAACCTCAAAAGTCAGAAAATCAAGGTCTTTAACATCTCAGCCCTTCATGTCTGACATTTATAGTATTTAAGTTTTTTTGGTTTTATTGTACTGCACTTTGTCACATTGGTGTGAAAAGTGCTATAAATAATTTTAAATAAGTATGATTTTAAACATGTGCAACTGGAAACAAATCACATTATAGCAAGTAGTGAATTACTCATCTGTTGTGTTTGTTTCTGAAACATAGATGTGCAACAGTTCTGCATGTGCTTTTTAAATGCGAGGATGAGTAAGTCAGTTTGCTGTCAGATGTTCTAATGTACAAAAAAAACACAAAAACATAAAAACAAACAACTTTGTGGCTTTCTCATCAGAAGGCAACTTTTTAAATCCAAACCTGCTGACTCTTCTGGGTTTTTTTTTCCAGAAGAGGGTGGCATTCAGCTTCTTGCATTATACAACATGAAAGTGCTGAGAGAAATGGACAGACTACCTAAAGAAGGAGAGACGGTGAAAACAACAGAACTAAAGAGTTTCCAAGCAGAGATATGTAGTATATGTGCATAGGATTTGACTGCCTTACAGTCTGCACCACAGGGCCCAAAATAACAATGCCAACACAAAATAAAACCCTGTAAACTTTGTATACTAAATGTCCTTTTTTGTAGTCAGGTGATGAATTAATAACCAGTGTGTTGGTTAGCTCTATATGTTAGAATCATTTATATTACAAAATTTATGGTTGATATAATTTATCTTAACCTTTTGCCTTTAAGATATTTTCTTTCAAGATAAAATGATAAAGTTATATGTTTATGTTAGCAGAAATGTTTAAAATAGCTTAATGTATATCTATTCTTATATGTAAATTATTCAGATCAAGAAGTAGGCCTTCAGGCATGTTAAACTTGTGGTAAAAATGGATTCTTATAAGATTATAACTCTTAATGCTGCAATCCAGAAACTGCAAGTGCTATGGTGCAAAGGCATTCATGGGATGAGAGCGGACCAACGTCCTAGCATAGCACACTAAGAGTAATGAATGAAATAAAGACAAATTCTTCAAATATATATATTGTGTAACCAAAATTGCAGTGGTGCTTTTAACAATACTGGGTTGCAGTTTTAAGTAATTTAGTTTGAAATATGCGTTTCTTTATTTGGCCTGCGTTGCAATACAATATTTTGAAATGTAAATCTCAACCTATGTTTTCACTTTACAAAAAGCTGCAATCCATAAGCTGAAAAATGTTTATAAAGACATAATATATGATATTCCCATGTATTATTGAAACTTTCTCTGTATTAGCTGCAGTGGTACAGTGTGCTACCTCTGAAATCTTGGAATTAAGGGTCCTTGTTCTGCTTTATACGACAACCTGAGAGGATACTTCATTCTATTTGGTGAGAAAATCCTATTTATTTAAGAGACAATGCTAATGAAAAATTTTGTTCATAAACAGGTTTAATGTTTGGTTACTTGCTCATTACTATTTTAAACTAATGATTTCCTATAACTTTTACCATTACAGGGGCATTTCTAATGTTTGTACTATTGTATTTAAGTGCCATTACCATTACATTCATATAAATCTTTTAGTTACGGGACGAGATTGATTTGTACCAGGTATCTGTCAGACTCTCAGGTGTTAGAAGGAACACAGATACATCTTTTAATATCATTAATGCCAAATGCACAAAATACTGAAACAACATGAAGGTGTAATAGAATTCAAAAAGCAGATTAGGGGGTTTGCAGTAAGAAAATGACTTTTATTTTGTCTGGTTCCTGGCCCTGATCTCATCCACACAAGTAGTTTAATTTACCTCGTCTTTATTGTTTGTTAAATTAAAAGAAAAGAACAAGTTTCTCGGTCCACATGAAAAATGTTTCAAATGCTCCACTGTAACAAAACAAGGAGGAATATTATTGATGTTACTATTGAAGATGTGCTTTATGTTTACAGAATCACAACCTTTTATGGGATGTATGAACCTTTGTGTTGACCTGAGGGAGAAACATAACTGCCGTTTTGCTGCAGCTAATGCAGGACCTAATAAACTAATTGATATATCTTGTATTTTTTTGAATAAGGCATTTGCCATCAATCGACATATTTATGTTTCTAAAAAGGATGTATAGATTCAAACTAAGTATTTTTCTTGGCAGCTATTATTCTGCACAATTGATCTACTGTGTCACAAATAGATAGTTAGTGGGATTTCTGACTTGAATTAGGCCTACTGGATGTAATTTACTTGACATTTCTTTTGAAATAAGCCATGCCCCATGGATAAGCCATACCCTCCATCCCCCTGATGTTGTATGGTGGATGTTTAATGTTGGTAGTTTTATTTATAATGGTAGTTATTGTAGGTATGATTGCGCTTGTAATTATTATTATTAGTGTAAGTATACTTGATTGATATTTTTGTTTTGTTTGAACAAAGGGAATGTATTCATTTTTCAGGTGATTTTTCTGAGTGATTTAAATAAACTAATAAATCCCTAATAGAAGGTATTTTATTTAATGAGCTACTTAAGGTGCTTTTTAAATTTTACTCAAAATATGTGGCTATATTTGGATTATACAGCCTCATATTTGCATGAGGATTCCATTACATTTTTTCCCTTATACAGTAATGTGTTCTTTGAATTTTTATTCAATTCATATTAGGTTTACACTGTTTGTGATAAACATGCTTGCAGAAGAATCACCATGATACAATTAGAAAAGATGAAAATGTCTGTGGGTAAGCAACAGGAAATTTTATTTGGACAGTGAAGGATTTATTAGGTAAAAATGGATATATTAAATATCCAAATGCAGCAAACTGCCTCACACCATCCCACATCAATGCAGAGGAGGTGTAAGGTGCAAGTCTTCCATCTTCTCACAGGTTTAAGACCTGAACTTGATTAAAGCTGCACAAAGTATTATTTTACATCAACATTAAATAACCATGTAGAATGTGAAGAGATTTGCTCATAGTGACAAACCCAAAGCAAAGTTTTACCAAACATTTTAGCATCTTATAGCATTTTATAGTATCAAAAACACAAGAAATTTGACTCTAGCCCAATGGCCCTCGATGTGCACAACAATAAAAACAGACAGAATTTGTTATTTTACTCCTGTATGTCTAACTAAATGGATACCATCAGTGTGACCTTCACTTTTAGTCTGGCCTAGAATACATGGACAGCCCTTCAATGATCCAGTCATTCAATCTGAAAAACAAACAAAAGGGGAAATGAGTGTGTAGTTTCACATTTTCATCTAAAATGGTCAAAGAATTGTAAACAAACAAAAATCTTATTTCTGTTTTTCTGTTATTTTGAAAATTAAGGTAAAGTTCGTGGAATTTGAAATTTGCCTTGTTATGAGGAACTCAGTTTCTTGCACATTAGAAATTCAGGCTTCCTAAATCCCACTTTTTTTTTCATCCACACACTGTAGGCATGAAAGCTTAAACAGTGTTTAGACATTTTAATAACAGTGTGGTGTTTTACAGTGCAGATTTGTCCAATATGTAGTTTTATGAATAGTTTGAAGTAATAACATCCATGTTTCTATATAAGAATCTTTGACATGTCATACAGCAACATCTAGTGGCCTCAAGTCATCAAAGCGGCATCATTTAATTAAAAATAAATAAATAAAATGACATACTTGTTTTCCCATATTGAATGACAAATGAATGACCAGATGAGACCAGCACAGCTTTTATATTTTATACAATCACCCTAAACCTCTAATAAGCTTGTCCATCTTAAGGACGGCCTGACCTGTCACATAACTGTGGACGTCACCGTTGCTGCCATAGTCTCTACTTGCTACATACAGTATCAATAACAACACTGATACCTTAGTTAAACCCTTCCTGTTCTGCAAACTTCTGCAAGCCTCAACAGCCCCAACTTTCTTCCCAAGTATTGAGGACATGAAATATTTCCAAAATACACAAACTCCAGTCTGGAAAAAAAAAAAACATCCTAAAATATAGTTGCCATTCTTCAGGATTCTCTTGATGGGTAAAAAGAGAACTTAATAGAGCATCTTAAAGGAATAGTACAACATTTTAGGAAATGCATGTATCCAATTTCTTGCTGAAAATGAGATGAGAAGATCAATACTACTTGTGCTTGTATTGTAAATATGTAGCTAGCGTGGCTCTGTCTAAAGGTAGGGAAATCTGCTTACTCTGGCAATCTGGTTCAAATGTGTAGAGGAGAACTGAAAGATGCCAAATCTTAAAGGTGTATATTAGTGTGCGTGGAATCAGTATAGGCCTCAGTCACTTTTACAAACTGGACAACACCGCCATCTTGTGGCGCACTGAGATCACAAATGGCAGAATAAGCAGCAGATGATGATTTTGCACAATATTGGTCATACTGTATCTTTCAGTTTTGATGTTAATTGGCACATTTCAGATTGTGCAGTCAGATATGTAACACCTTTACACAGAAATGTATGCTCCCAAATTAGTATACAGCATTTGTCTGACAGTTGTCTTCTGTCGCAATAAAATATGATTTTATTTGATCGAATCAGAACTTGAAACTTTTGATTCTACCACACATAAAATTGCACAAACTGTTTATGGGCCTCAGCGAAGAGGAAAAAACAAACAAGTAGAATAGGCAGGTTAAGAACAAATTTATTTATTAATTTCTATTCAAACAAATGACAAAACCATTTTTTACAACTGGACAATCTAAAACCAAGACAACTACAGTTTATCTCTACGGGGATATCAGTTCCTTAAAGATGCAGTAGTAAAGACTGGTGAAATAGTTTTACACAGTAGTAAGCTATTGTAAAGTATGTATGTTGATAGTACTAATAAGTAGCAGTAAAGGAATAGGAAGGCCTTGTGCAGATATTAATGACGGCTTAAAGTCAAATGTGTAGTGAATTAATTGTACCATGTTTGAACTTTTGAAAAATAAGCCTCAAATCTTCCAACAGCTAAAACTTTAAAACACAAGATCCACAAAAGCGTAGGTGTGTTGCAAGATGCAGATTCTTTATATCAGGTCTAAAAGCAGCACATTTATCTTAAAATAAAACATCCTACATAATTCTTTACACGGGTGTAACGAATATGATCATAGTGTTGTGACTTTACAGAGGGCACCCCTCTGCAGGAAGCACCGACAGTGCTGCATATCTGCTCGTGTCAGTTTGGCTTGTCTGGCTGCACATATTGTTGAGAGGAATGTCCATTTGCGCAGGATGTACCGAGCCCTCCTCAGAATTAATCTTATAGGCCATCTTGGACATAATAGCCAGGCTCAATTTGAAGAGCACATTATGGAGAGCCACACGGTATTCTTTTCTGACCAGGCAGTAGATGACAGGGTTGAAGCAGTTGCTGGAGAAAGCCAAGCAGTTTGCCAGAGGGAAAAAGTATGTTTGAACCAAGTAGAATGAGGGGCAGATATCAATGATGTCAAAATGGATCAGGACAGACCAGAGAGTGATGACGTTGAATGGGAACCAGCAGACGCAGAATGAAACTAACACCACTGCCACAGACTTTGAGATATCAGCCTTTCGCAGAGAGCTGCTGCCTTTCAGTTTATGCTTACGCAGGAAACGCAGCAGAAGCAGGTAGGACAGGATGATGGTAGCGTAGGGCAGCAGAAATCCCAGCACCACTCGCATGAGGTGGTTTATTCCCAGCCAGGCTGTACCATTTGGGAAACGGAGCAGGCACGTTGTGTCATTGCCCACAAAGTCCACGTCTGCGAACACAGCCCGGGGAGTTCCTGCTACGATTGCTCCAGCCCAGATAAAAGCTGTGGCCACCATGTAAGTGCAAGATCTGCTACACAGAGTGGAACCGGGCTTGAGCGCGCTTGCAACGTAGCAGTACCGGGTCACACTCATGGCTGTCAGGAAAAAGCAGCAAGCAAAAACATTCAGCCCGGTGAGAAAGGATACAGCCTTGCAGGTGGCCAAGCCGAAAGGCCAGCTATAGTCCAGTGCATAGTCCACAGCCCAGAAAGGCAAGACCAGGGAGAACAGCAGGTGAGCCAAGGCTAAGTTAAAGACAAAGAAATTGATGGTGCCTTTGGTGATGGTGCGAGTAGAATAAAGCAGGAACATCACTAGCACGTTTGCCAAAACTCCTGCAGCAGCCACAACAAAGTACACCACAGAGATAACTATTCTTAGCCAGGGGGGTGCACCAACATAAATCTTCAGCACAGTGGTAATGTTCTCGTTGCCAATGAACTCTAGTCCCTCGAAGTCAGTGTCTGACATTTTGGCTACCTCAAAGGGTTGAGGGTTAGGGTTGTCCAGCTATTAGTTGAGATGTTTCTGCTTGTCCCTTTGTGCCAAAAATTAATTAAAAATCTAAGTTCTGGTTGTCTGTTTATTGCTATAGTTGGCTGTCAGCTATTCCTGAAAGGAAAGAGGAAATTATTATTACTGCAGTTGATGAGTAAATAAGTAGATTAGCCCTGTCAGATAAACAAATTACACTAAAGTGTTATCCACAGAGTTAGATAATCCAATTTAGAATCAAACTTCTCTGGGAGGAAACGTTAATAAACATATGAAGTGAATTAAACTAATTTCACCCACAGAGTCACTTTTTATTATGCAATAATATCAGAGCAATATGGATGAAACCACAGGCAGGAGTGTGACTAAGCATTCACAGCACTGACATGGATTACAGAAGCATAAATATGCTTCATTATATCTACCAGATAACTCCTATAGTCTTCCTTTAGTAAAATAGTTTTATCCACTATGTTTTCAACGTAAGAGTTTTAGAAAAAGTATGTTTGCAGCCTAAATACCTGTAGTTAGTAACTGAAATAAAAGATATTCATAATAATCGTAGTCTCATGAAACCTGGCTAATTAATAGGAGGATTCATAGCAAGATACAAGCATCTATATTCAAACTTCACTCACTAAAATGGCACAGTTTATCAGATTCTTTTCCATTTTATCTCAGATAAAATCAGAAGCAATTTTGGCAACATTCAAGTTAAACCGGACAATAATTGACATATATCTGTGTAAATATACCATCAAAAATGTGTCATCCGCCAGCAAAACAAAAGCAAAATGACAGGTCAAAGTTACTTGGTATGGACTAAAATTTGTTTAGTTAATAAAGATGGTTGAATTACTTAATTGTGACAAATTGATGCCTGCAAATTTTCATCATTAAACCATAAGATCCAGAGCTACTAACAAAATGTGCCATAATCCAAGAGGCCGTTTATTTCTAATCTTGTGATTGCTAAACAGCAGATCTCTTCAAAATCCAAAGATTTTCCTATGGTCTATAAACAATCATATCTAAAAGTTTTAAACTTACAGAGAGCTCAGTATCAGCCATAAAACACTCAAATAAATACAGTGAATGTCTGTCTTTAAGCTCTGATAGTGCTGTTCATTCAATCTGAACTCTGTGCCAAAATTATATTCTACTGTAAATAAACTTTTATTTTACCTGAATAGGATATGAATCTTCAGCTTTTAGCAGTTTGCCTTCCTGTTGCCACTGGCTCTGCTGCATATGACATTATCTTGAAGGTGGTCAACAACAACAGTGTGGATGCCACCCAGCATGACTTTATGCTCCACCCTATTAGTTTTCACTCTGCCTCTTCAGAATGGAAATCCCCTGCGATGACACGACTGAAACACTAATTAACAAAGCAAACAAATAAGTAAATAAATAGGGTTGTCACTCAAATTTGGTGGGAAAGTGGGATTTTAACCAGACAACAATCCACTTAACATTTTCAGTTTTGACTCCTAAATCCTGAGGAAGTGAGATTTTATTTCTTAAAAATATATATATTTTTTTATATTTGGCCTCCTCAATATATTACATTTTGGACAAATTTTGTAACAGTCTAAGAAAATATTTTTCCTTTGTTAATTTTTCTACCATACATTTAAATGAACAAATCCCAGCTGTCATGAGCCTGACTGACAAGAAATTGTGTACAAGGTACTGAATACAAATTACATGCTGTGTCTTCCTTCTAACCTTAGTGCAAGGTAAGGTAGAGCTTACTGTAACCTTATGTTCTGCAGTTTGTTCACTCTTTAGGATTTTAACTGGTTGTTAAGCACCAACACTGAAACACTGTATTTGGAAAGTGACAGATGAATACATGAATAATTATTTAAGTAATAAATGAGCCTGGCCCGTTTCTTTGTGTTTGGAACTTTACTTCTTCTGTTGCTTTTTTGTTTCCCAATATGAGGTTTTCCTTGTCCTTATTTAACCAACCCTGCTTATAAGCTTTCATAAACACTAATATATTTTTGAATCTTGACTAAAACACTAGCTTTGGTTTGGGGAATTGTTGGGAAAGAAATGTCACAGATTTTGCCATTTACACTTCCAGTAGCATATTTTCAAAATCTACAGTGCACATGTATTATTGAGTATTCTTTGCTTTTGCATTAATTAAATGGGAAACATACTGTACAGTAACCTAGAGCCTACTATGCATTCATTCTACCATTCAAATCTTAGTACCTCTCCAGGTCTTTGTTAAGGCAAAAGACTGACAGAAATAAAAGGTGTGGCAACAGAAATTTGGGTTTTGTTTTTTTTTCTATTTATATCTGGGGTGTTGTTTCAATATTAGATTGAGCAGCAGAAATGACTCTTCATTATAAATCCTTGATAGTGGAAAGAACATCAGCAGTGAATGACTAAATGAGATTATCTTGGAATAGGCGGAAGAGTGGGGAAGTTGATTAATGTCGGTCAGCCTAAACTGAGCCATTTTCAGCAAGTAGTTGAAAAAAACATGCAGCTCCCTGACTATAGTCATGTTGTCATCACCAGCAATGCGGTGCAGAAATGGCATGCTAATTCCTCCATGGTGCATATTTGTGTTATTGTAGTGGATAAAACAAACAAATATAGTTAATAGTTAATGCATATAGTTAGTGTGTAATATGCAATATGTGATATGCAACTACAATGGAATGTGATAGACAACAGTGTGAGGTGAAAAAATGCTTATGTAACAGGCTTTTGACCTTTTGTTCGAGAGGGTCAGTTCATCAGGCCATACTTTGTGAGAACATCTTCGAGGGTGGTTTACCGTAAAAGAGAAGTTAAGAGGCTATTGACGTCACAGTTAGGACAAGGACAAGAAACAGCTGTAATTTGGGGAGAGGAAAAAGAACCAGTGAGCTGGGGTGAGTGTTATTTGGGAAGAGATGAGAAGAAAAGAGACTGACTGACAATTGACAAGGTGATTCTGTATCTTGTCTTCAACATTCATTACTAACATTGTTATACCAATAAATAATCATTGGAATTGTAGTGACTTGTCTGTGAAATAATTTGTCACCCCAGAGCTCTCGCCATGACATATTTAAAAACAATCTTCCTTATATCTCTAAACTAATATTAATTACTGACACACTAAGCAGTAAATTAATCACTGATTAAAATGTTATACCTTATTGATCAAATCTGCCCTAGAGCCAAAGTGTAAAAAATGGCAGCCTGTGGGTTTAAGGGAGGTTGTGATTTGAGTTTTACTAGTGCTGGTAGGTGGGTTTTATGTATTTTGAACAGAGCCAGGCTAGTCACTTTCCCATGTTGCAAGTTTTTACACCAACTCCTGGTTGTTGTTTTATATTAAACCTTCTCATCTAATTCTCAGCAACAAGGTACATTTTTCCCAAAATGTGCAACTATTTTTTTTTGAAAGAACTCCTCTTCAGTTTCACTCTTTATTCTGTATTCTCCCCTCACTGCTTAAAAAAAGACATCCCTGCCACATCTGTCAGATAAATTCATCTGTAAATTATTTTATAAATGCTGGGCCAAAAGAGATTTCAAGACCATCTGTGTACTCTCTAACACACACACACACACACACACACACACACACACACACACACACACACACACACACAATTAAAAAGAGCAGTGACTCATTTTTGTCAAGAATGTCCAAGAACAGTCATTAGATTTTATGCTGACAAAATTAAACACACATGGTTTTCTCCTATAAACTGATCATTTTTGACCCTTAAGAGACTGGAAGGTAAAAGCTCTTTTTACATGATGCAAATGGCCAAAGACCAGATATGAAAGTAAACACACTTGCCAATGTAACAATCAAAGTATATGTAAATGCAGTAAATGAGCTGGTTTTAACCCACAGTTAGCTTTGTATATTTACTTGTGCAAAACAAATTAGCTGCTCGGGTGCATCTTTTCCAGTTCTGCTTTTGTAAATGGATTACCTACCTTAATCCATCTCTCTGCACCAGGGAATGGGGACGACTAGAATATACAGCAGCAATATGGCTTCGTTGCCACCCTTTGTAAAAATGAGAATACAACACTTCATTTCACTGTGATAAGAGGGGGAGGAGACCTAGAATAGGCTCCATTGAACACTTGCTTTTTCTAATAGTGAGCCCTCTGATGATGCATGTCTGACCCAACAAGAAACAGCCCAAGTCCATTTGCTCTATGATAGAAGAAGCAGCAGTTTGTGAAAGGAATATATCCTACATAAAAAAAAACAAAAACAAAAAAAACACAAAGCCTTACTTTGTAAAATACAACAAAATGAACACATGTAAAACACTTCTAAAAACAAACAACAACAGCATCTAGGACCAGCTGCTGTGCAACAGATGAGCAATAGACTTTGATTGCAGCTAATGTACATTTTCTATATTATTGCTTTTGGTAGTGGTGGTTTTGTTGCCGTTTTTGATTTATTATTATTCACAACCTTGTAAAATGAAAATGGATAATCAAAACCCTAGAGACAATAACACATTTCTAACTGTACACTGTACCAAAGGATCATTCAACTAAAACCAAATTTGTGCTATTGTGCCATTAAAACTGACATGTAGCCAAATCCAAAGACCAGATGCATAAAGCCAAAGTGATGAAATCAGCTCAACAAACATAAAAGTTGAGCTGCATGACAATACAGAATTCCAATGAATTCTACACTCATTTTGTGTTTAATAGATACAAAACATGTAGCTAAAAGTCATACAAACTAATGCAACAATACCACATTTGTGAAGTTATAAGACAAATGTTCTATTTTTATTGAAAGAGAGGTTAATCAAACTCAACGGCAATCAGTTTCCATCTGGTTGAACTGTATTGGTGTTTGTAATATTTTATGAACATTCAAACAGGCTTTGCTATAATTATTCCCTCTATTCATATTTCCCATAAAAGAGCCCATCCTAATGTGATTTCAATATACTGTAGTTTAAGTGATGGGGAACAAAATCTCCAGACATCCTTCTGTACAAAATGTAGTGAAAAGTTTGTCTGAAGCTTCACTGTCTTTAGTACAAAATCCCCTCTTTGTGTTTCCCTGAACAGTGCCTCCCTGTTGCACTGCGGTGGAAGAGTAGTATCAAGAGGAAGGTTTTTTTTATTATTATTATTAGAAAGGATTTTAAATATTTTCTTGATTTATCTACCTTGAATTGCTAACCTCATTAACTTCTGAATAAATTTTTGCACAGGAGGATGACTGTAGAGTTTGTCTGTGGGGGTATTATTCACAACTCTCCACACAGATTTGCTAATTATATCACTCTAATAATACCCCCTCATTTGTTCACAATCACTTACCATGAAACCACCACAACAAGGGAGAAACAATTAAAAGAGAAATGATTAGAGCAAGCAAAACCAGTTTGTGTTTAGGTATAGCTTCCTTTTTGAAAATCCATTAACAAGGGGTTGACTGAACTGTTTGTTGTAATAGCAGTTGTGTGTCCAATGAAGACTATGAACTAGAAGCCACTGTTAAAGTACAGTACATTCACTTTATTTCTACAAGTATGATTACTTAATGGTCCTAAGATGGCGTTTTGCCCCTGGGCCACAGCCTCTCTAAAAAAACTTCTTGTCTGAAAGTCACAGAGAGCACATGTAATACACAAAATGATCATAAAAGGATATACAGAACATCTGACTCCATGTGCCCGGGGGCTCTTTGGGCTCTGCTGGTTATTCTGTTGGTGACCGAAGGTGACAAGGCCTTTCCACTGGAATAGTCTGCCTACTGATATCAAACAGGCTGCACCTTTGGCGTCTTTAAAATCAAATCAATTAAATCTTAAAACATTCTTTTGTAGGAAAGCATTCATGAATAATATATTACTGAGTTTTATCATCCTGCTCTCACCATTTTAGGTTTTTAACTTTTTTTTGCTCCCTAGTATTTTATTATCTTTTGTTTTTTCTTCTGTACAGTACTTTGTGACTTTGTTACAAAACATATTACAAAAACATGCAGCACAATCACAAACCAACCACAAAAGACCTGTGCTTGAATGTAACTAAGTACATTTACTTAAGCACATATCTGAGCTACCTGTACTTCACTTGATTATTTCTATTTTGTTAAACTTTATATGTGTACTCCACTACATTTAGGGAAATAGGCTGCCACCTCTAGTTACCATTCTGTAGTGTCCATGTAGTATTTTAGAGAAGTGTTGGTACTTTTACTTAAGTAGCATCTGAGTAGCCTACTTCTTACACCATCTAGTCAAAAACAAGCACAGCCTTTGTTGTCATCTCATTTTTGGTCCCTCTCGGTCTGGGGGTCCTACAGAAGGAGGGGTGGGGGCTTTATTTGTCTATGCCCTGAGGCCCATTTTCTCTTAGCCAGTCCATGTGTTTATGCTACTAAACGTACGTCAATCTAATGGTAACAGTTCCGCGTGCACCCGCGGGTCACCTCAGTGAACGAAGCAGGGCCGCGCGCTCGCAGAAATCCCTCGCGCCGGCTTGCTGTCCTAACGGTAACTCTCGCGTCACTCATGCACCCAAAAAGGACGGCTGCGGAGGAGGAGGAGGAGGAGGACGGGACTGCGGTTCAGGTGCACCGCTGTGACTAAAAGACAGTGATGATAAAGCTACAGAGGAGAGAGAGATGAACCCACAGGAAGGACATCGCCTTGGTGTGTGGACAACAGTTTATCTGTTCAATCGCCATCGTTTTATCGTGATGGGTTTCCTTCAGGAGCGACCTGCCGCCTCAGGTAAGGAGGGGTGACGCAAAACAACGTTTAACTAACAAAAGGTAGTGTGTCAAACAGGAGTAGGATGCTGAAGTAGCAGAGGCGGTTTTTTACTCTGATTTGGGAGTTTCTGCTGGTTAAAGTTAACTACAACATCCCATCGGGGAGTCGGTAATATTGATGTCAGACAGTATCGCTAAATCACTCGGCCAAGTCGTGTGTCTTCTGAATCTGGTGTCGGAGCATCTGCTAGCTAGTGAAACAAGTCTCCTGACACAAGCAGCCCGCTCCACACATGATCCGAGTCAGTACTGGGCTATTGTTATCATTATTACCTTACTGCGGTTTGGCACAGCTGGGACCGGCCATAGCGAACATCACCAACTCGCACGTAAACTTGTGGTAAGTACAAACCGGACAGACAACAAGGCTGCCATTGTACCGGATCAACGGCGGATTAACGGATTCCTTTTCTCTGCACTATGTGAATGGCCTCCATTCTCTCTCTCTCTGCCTGTCCAACTCTGTGGTCATAAGATTTCTATCTGATTCAACCTCTGGCACTGTAAGAAACGGGTGAGGTTAAACTTCAACACCACAGCAGCGATGTCCAGCTGAGCAGTTGTGAAACGTGGATGGCTGGTGGAGTGTTGTAGTGGCATCAGGCACTGCGGCTGAAAACTGCTGATCAGCAAGGAGTAGGGTTGCAACCAGCTGTCTTTTTCATTATCTGTTGATGGTTTGGGCCTAAAAAAAAAGTCCTAGAACGATGAAAAATATCTGACAATACATCCCAAGGTGACATTTTAAAATAGCTTGTTTTGTCCAACTATCATTATAAAATACAATATACTGCATTTACAATTATTTTTCTTAGAGAAAGGCTGCAGAGCCTCACATTTGATAAGCAGCACCCAAATAATGTTTGGCATTTTGGCTTGATAACTGACTGAAATCAATAACCAATACCAACATTTTTGGTTTAAGTGTCCATCAGTCTAATAGTTTCATCTGTAATAAATGGCTTTGCAAGGTGATGTCAGCTTTAACCTAGGGCGTATAGAGTTAATGAGCAGTGTATATGTCACATTGGTCTTCAGGGTATTGTTTGTCTACCCTCCTGATAAAAAGCTGTTGTTTCATGGCTGCTCATCAGTAGTAGCATGTAAGGATAAAGGTTGTCATGTAGACTGCAGAAAGTCTAATCACATCCCTCAGGCAATCAGACATGATTTTGTTTGTAGCTCTTATGTTCTTGACAATGCACAAACATAGATCCAGATTTTCAGTTTTCTTACTCTTACCTCTCCTACCCCTTATTGTATACACTTGTGTATCATGCACAACATGTGCCATCCACAGCTCTCCCCCTCCCCCCGAGTATGTGGCCAACCAACATGTGGGGAGGTAATCCCAGCTATTAGGGTAATCTCCTCAGCATGGCGATCAATAGGGGAGGGTGTGCAATGACTACCAGACAAGACGAGCAGGGAGACAAAATTTGTGTTAAAGAAAAATGAATTAATCATCTGGATTAGGTCAGGAGACTGGGGTCAGGACAGGGGCTTGTTTCTGCGAGGGGGGAGGGTTACAGACAAAGCTGATAAGAAGACATGAGGGCCAAGGCCATCTCCACTTTGGGCAGCTGTGTGACAATGGGTTTATTTTTTCCCTTAATCTGGACCAAATAGAAACAAACAGTCTGCAAAATATCAATATCTACTTCTGAAATCCTGTGTGTGCACATCCTCACTCAGGACAGCAGTTAACATGTGCTAGATGTCTTTTCCATGTTGCCTTACACTGCAATATTCTGGTCCAGGTACCTTGAATAACACATCCAATAAACAATTTAAAGTCACTACATGTAAACAGATGGGAATGGAAACACTCAAATACATCTATAAAAACACAATTTCTTAGCTGCTATATAAGGCCATCGAAAGAAAATACAACACTGAATTTGAGCAGAAACAAATCAGTCCATCTATTGACATTTCATTGGTTTCAGCTTTTCAAATATGAATATTTGCATTTTCCTGTGTTATCCTATATCTTTGTAAGCTGAATACATGAGGGTTAGGGATATTTAATCTTGTGGTGGGTTATGGGACTAACTATTTTCTGATGTTCAATTAATCAGGAACCGTTAGATGTGGCCCTAGATTTACACTAAGTCGTGTTAAGATGTGCCAGTACACACTGGCAAAGTAAATCTAATCAGTTCGTCTCAAAACTGGGGAAAATAGCTTTTACTGTAGTAACTGCTTCAAATATGAAGGGTGTATTTCTTTCACTCCATAAAGCACGTCTTTGTAAATATTTCCCCCACTAAACAAAATGTAAATGCAACAAAGTATTGAATGAGTTTTGTGATGACTCAGATAGACTCCTGGAGAAATAAGCTTGCCCAGTGGAGGAACCGGAGTGCAAACACCGGCAAAATGTCCAGATGGAAGATGGGAGCGATGAGAAAGGTGTTCACAGATCCCTACTGTTTGGCCCCATTGAGACAGAGGGAGATGAGATTGGATGGGACTGAGGGAGTCAGGTTACTGTCGTTCCATTCTACCACAGAGAAGCCAGGGTGTAAAAGATGCAGTACCCTTCTGGGAAACCTAATCCAGACCCTGCTGCCAGCTGTCATTCTTTTGCACCAGGAAAAAAAGAAATCGCTAAGGAGGTATCACCTTACCCTTCTTCAGGCCTTACTTTAATCATAGCAGGAAATGGGAAATTACACGCACGTTCAATATTACAAATCATCATCTATGTAACTTGAGAAGTTTGATCTTACACACTGATAAAGATGTACATTACAGCTAAAGTGTAGGCTGGGTCAGTTTCAAAAGTACTGGCCATAGTTCACATGTTTTTCTATAGCTTTACTTAATTTTTATTTTAAGTTGTCGAGTGTCAAGCTTGGCTAGGCTAAAATCAGTACCAGATTCTTATCAAAATTACAGTGGTCCAGATCCAGTCTCTAGTTTATACACACTCTGTGGAGGTTATACTGTATATAAGATAATGGTTTGAGACCTCAGTCAGTTATAATTTAGTATTAAGTTAATTTTATCACAACAAATTGGGATAACTGGAATGAAACAGGAGTCAATTTCAGCAAGTTCAATAGTGCAAAGTTCAAGATTAAATTCAAACTGAAAGGGACATTCAGATTTTAATGCCAAAAATATTAAAGCTACGACTCTAAGAGCACTCCTCATTTTCCAGGTCAGACCAAAACCACGACTTAAAGTTGAAATGACAGCCATTTGTAAAATCTGTTAATAATTGAAGCAAAACATTTTGAATTTTCTTATTTTCATGTGAAAATCTACAGCTTTTTTGTTTTATAGTAACTTAAACATCTTTGGATTTTGGAGTGTTAGTTGGACAAAACAAGCAGTCTGATGATATCACCATTTTCTTTCAATGGACCAATCCAGAAAATAATCGTCAGATGAATTCATAATGAAAATCATCATTAATTGCAGCTCTAGTTGGATCGTTTCATATTCTAATGAAACACTACATCCATTCTAAATAGACAAAGTAATTTCCTGTGGCTAAAGTAACATTACTACTGTTTACTCTATACTGTAATATGCTGTATATTTAATCTCTGTTATATATTTGTTTGCTTTGGCTGTGTGATTTATTGAAATCAAAGACCGTGTTTAAATGGTCACATCAGAGGTAGTAAGGTGAATAAAAAGATGAGATAAACTGATAATGTGAAAGGCAGAAAGCAGAGAGAGACATAAAGGGAGACGGTCTGAGCCAGTCAGAGCTGACCTTGCCATGATAATCTAATCCCTCTCGAGAGTGCTTTTTTTAGAGAGCAAGTTAATGCCAGCCGATTATACTCCAGTGTCTCCCTAGCCAATCCCTACTGAAAAGACAGTGGGTCCATAGGGGCTCCTTAGACCTACCACAGCAGATACATTTATGTCAATAATACAAGGCAAAATTACAGGGGGCATATGAAAATGTCTCTAGAAGTCACATCTCACAGTCTTTGCCTTTTGCTTTCAGTAGTGTTGCACAGTCCGTTTCTGATGTCTGCATTTAGGCGTGAATGAGACATGTGGTCTTGATTTTTAGAGTAAAGCTTGATTTATGATTCTGCGTTAAATCTATCAACAAATAGCCGTGTACCCTACGCTGTAGACTATATCATTGCCTGACATGCACCTTTCCAGAAATATAACTGCATGTCTCGGCAACGCAGACCACAACAGCTGTGATTGGTTGCATCGCATTTCCTCGTTCATGTCTCTTAGTGGCTGGACAAGAATGAAAAAAATCCCTCCTTGTTCTGCCTCATTTGGTTAGGTGGTCGTACAGACCATCTCCTCCAATGTCTTCTCTCTTATCTATGTTGCAGTAACTTCAACTAAAGTAACTGCTGTTCAACATGTATTATTTTTTAACTCCAATACGACCTGCTCAGGCTCAGTTGACATTGCTTGCAAGTGGAGAAGAAACGCAACACAGTGGCATACACACACTACCGCCAACTGGTGTTTTGGCAGGGTAATTGCAGGGCAGCACCGACACCAGTGCACAAGTATAAATGCTCACAACGGACATTTACACAGCCTACGTCATAGGCTCTATGAAGATTAAACGCAGAACCAAAAATCAAGCTTAACAGTCAACATTTCCAATACAGGTGAAATCTGCCTTCTCCCTTCCCTGTGTGTCCCTACTTTATTACACCAAGGGGCATCTATGATAAAAAGGCCACTCATTGAGCCGCTCATCTGGCTATGCAGAGTAATCCCTGTATATGTTGTGTAACTGTGAGGAGAGATGGACAAGGAGGGGGATGGGCTCCACTGTGTGCAACTTTGTCCATCGGTTGCTGGTGACTGTTGAGCTCGTGTCTGTCTAATCGCTTGGGTACATTAGGCTGGTCACCCACAGTATCCACAGCACAGTGCTATCTCACTGGGTTTCATGCATACAAGTCATTCGAGGAACCCTGCTGACAGTGAATACTAAGAGTTATCATGCATTGGTACCAGGCTGACCAATGTATACTAGTAGTGATCCACAAATCACACTGTGCTTCCTATACACTCAACACAGAACAGTGCGTCTTGTATAGGGGGAAGAAATGATTTTTTACACCTGATGAGAGTAATACATTTTTATGTAGCTCGTTGTCAGTGTTACCCAGTGTTAGCACTTTGCTGAATGGGCCATAAAGCTTTGATATGTTCACTATTCGAGTGGTTTTGTGGACTGAGTTGAAGTTTATTTTGCTCAATGCACAGCGCGTTGGACTCAAGTGTTCACAATGTGATATGTGATGTTGAGCGTTCCATTTGGATAGTCATTAAACATGGCACCTCAAACAAGCACCTGGTAGTTTGTGTTGACCCTACATCTGGAAGGAGTCACCGTGAAATGCATCAGCACTGAATCAGCAAAGACTGCATTTTCTGCAGGTGTTGTGGAGCAAGTAAGATGATAAAAGTCCTGTTTGTCTCCTCTGGCAGTGTGTAATTTTAGGTTTTCAGTCTGACTTTCATTTCACAAGAGGTTATGTCCTCCTGCCATAGTATACCAGGCACTTTATGCACAAGTTATTGCCACTTGTGGGTTAATTTTATCACAGGAAGCTTGAGCTAAATGTCTTGTATCCACTGCCTGAAACACACATTTTAAATAAAAATAATAAAACTGATTCTGAGAGGCCTAAACAAAAGTTTCCAAGTATTTTTGGAGCAATTTAACAATATTGATCTTGCTCAATATTTATATTTACATGCTTCCTAAATTGTACAGATGTTGGTTTTGCTACATTTAGGTTTATTGTCATAGATTGGAACAAGCAGAAGAAAAATAAATCTTTAGATGTTATAACCACTGCATCTGGCCAAAAATATATGGAAAAAGCATTTCAGATGCACTTTAGAGTGCAGGATAATAAACAAAACAAATAGGAATACTTAAAACAATATTTGGCATAGCATGGGAAAGGTTGCTCCGCGCTATACATTGTATAGTGAATTCATTACAAATGCCACCCGGTGGGCTGCCAAGTAGTACTGCAAATGGTTAGATTATTATTTACAAAGCTAGATACTAAATGTGTTTAAGAATTTACATAAAAATTTTAATGCATAATTTCAATTATCACTTTGAATATCATGACATCATCAGGAAGTGACAAACATGTTTTACTGCTATTAGCCAGCTAGCTAGCCAACGTTTCCTCTGATGTAGTGACACAAAAAGCTGAAAACCCCTGCACTACAATATCATCTCTGGAACCCGCTTCCAGAGATTTTGGTCTTGTAATTTTTATATATATAGTACATTATTATATGTAGTATATGCATTTTCAAAAATTATTTATTAGCTGCTGACAATGATTTGATTTTGTGCATGGATGCACTGACAGTGCTCTCAACAGACACCGTTTCTAGATGTAGATCTGGACAGATTCCATTAAGATAAAAGAAATTTTTAGAGGATAGCATCTTATTTTTAGACTTGCATTTACAGCAACAACAATTCTCTCAAGCTGCGTATTAGTTTTGTTTTGTGACTTGGCTGTGTTTGCACTTGGTGGAAACCGACAGGATTATTGGACACAAAACAGTAAATGTGAGGTGAGGCTTAGCGAGTGACTATGGCTTTGAACACTAGCATAAGGACAGTCACATGCTATCTCCAGTCAGGGGTATGTTGGCACAGACTTTCTACTGGTTGTTGAGAATAATTTGGATGACTTCAGCACATACACAGGCACATATGCATGCACTCAGAGTGATGGGGTACGCATTACAAATATTGTCACACATGCTACTAGTCAGCAATTAATAGAATTAGCTTTTAGTGCAAGTTTCTTTCTTTCAAAAAGGTATTTTGAGGATTTTGGGATGTTTGGCGC